ATAGTAGATTCTCTGTTGGAATCATAGAAAGGAAGGAGATATGATAATTGCTTTGTGTAGTTCACAGAATGAAATCGCAAACTGAGATGTTTTGAATCTAGTTTGTACTGTAACCATTTCTAAGAAACCATATTTAAACAGCAGTGGTTATCACAAAGTATACAACATGTCAACTGTGTCCTAATTCACATCAGTAAAAACCTTCCGCCACTTTATTCCCTATAACCTAACCTCCATCAGATAATGCCAAATAAACTATGTCGAGTGCACATATTAATATATATCAAATGTATCAAACGGCTTGCTGGCTGCATTTTCAGTAGTGTTTATCTGTGGTCATGCAGGTTATAACTCTGAATTTTTATTAGGAAAACTAAATTGAGAATTTATAATGTTCCTGATTTAGCTTCACCAGCTGTGCCACAGCTATGGAAAAAAGAGGGTAAAAAATCTAACACAGTCTATAAGAGAGCAACAGACAAATTGCTTTTATTCATGCTTACCTGTTTTGCATCTGCCACTAGAAGGTTTAAGGTCATGTATAGTAATTAGTAGTTTCTTATATAACCTCAATCCAGCAAATTGCTGGGTGGATTCTTAGATTGATTCACATAAAATAGGAATAAAGATTGTTAATTGATATTTAATCTTGAGAATCTTGAAAGTGATTCTTTGAAATGGGAATTTTGAAAATGATTCTAGCACCAAAAATATAATTTTACCTTTGTTAAAGCAGTCACAATGAAATAATTGTATAAATTTTTCTATTTAGGAATCAGACAATTTGGGGCCAATGAAAAATAACCTAAGAGTATATATTTAGAAGAAATACTGAGTTTGCAGAGGGAAAGAGTAAAAAAATACAGGAAGTCCCCTCTAGATAGTTAATTTATTTGTGGAATTGTTAGCAAAGGTTGCTGTGTGGAATTTCTCATTATGAACATTTCTCTTTCATGTCTGCTATAGGATAATGTATAACAAATTGCTGGTGAAACTTGTGTGTAAACCTGTGAGACTTGAGAGATCAGACTAATTCCTGAATGTAAATAGATAGCCTTTACAAATATTTCTTTCTTAAAATAGTGCTGTAATTATCAGTCTAGGTCTGATATATTTTGTTTGTGGCTGCTTGGCCATTTGATTTGGTAGCCAGAAAGTAAGCCCCCAGAGGGCAATGGCCATATCTGTTTTACTTACCACCGTACTCCCAGAGCCTTGCACATTGCCTACCGTGTAAACTTAGGATATGTTTCTTGAGGGAATATAGACACATCTATTCATGTAGAGTTACCTATTCACAGAAGAAAAATAACAGCTACTTCTATGCTAAGTGAAAACACTTTTTATTCAAAAGTAGTCTCATATTCTAGATATTCCTTTTAGAAAATCTCACACCATTGAGTAGCAATAAGACATCTATAGCAATGACTAGCTATGTACATCTTCTGTAATATTTAATTCTCAACAACTATTATATGAGGTATTAGCTACATTTTATAAATGAGGAAACTGAAGATTTTGAATATTAAGCAACTTGCCACAGGCCACAGAGCTGTTATTAAGTGGTGAAGCTATGATTCATTTACAATAATTAAAAAAATATAAGCTAATATATATCTTGAACACTTAATTATGGATCAGGCACTATATTAAGTGTTTTACATTTAACTTCACTGTAACAGTGTGAAGGCAGCATGATTATCATTTCCATTTTACCAATGTGGAAAATGAGGCACAGAGAAGTTAAATAATTTGTCAAGGGCTCATGGCTAGTTATTGGTGGAGCCAGAAGGCCCCTCATCTTATATCACATCACGTGCAGTTAGAGTTGAGTAAGGGCAGTATTGGTTATAACCATTTGGAACATTTATAGTTTTAAAATACTTATTTTCAGTATTAGTTTTTTTAAAAGTATTTTCTGCTATACTCTGCTGATTATGGAAATGCCTATATATATATTTTTTTTAATGCCTATATTTTTTAAAGATAATTATAAATGCCAGAACAATCAGACAAGAGAAGGAAATCAAGGGCATCTAGATGGGGGCAGAAGAAGTCAAACTGTCACTCTTTGCTGACGATATGATCTTATCTCCAGAAAACCCCAAAGATTCTGCCATGAGACTACTGGAATTGATAAGCAAATTCAGCAAAGTCTCAGGTTACAAAATCAATGTACAGAAATCAGTAGCATTCCTATACGCCAACAACAGTCAAACTGAGAACCAAATCAAATACTCAATACCCTTCACAATAGCAACAAAGAAAATAAAATACCCAGGAATATATTTAACTAAGGAGATAAAAGACCTCTATAGGGAGAACTATGAAACACCGAGGGAGGAAATAGCAGAGAACACGAATAGGTGGAAAACCATACCATGCTCATGGGTCGGCAGAATCAACATTGTTAAAATGTCTATACTAGCCAAAGTGATCTACAGAGTCAATGCAATCCCTATTGAAATACCAACATTATTCTTCGCAGACCTAAAAAATAATTCTATGCTTCATATGGAACCAGAGAAGACCCCATATAGCAAAAGCAATCTTAGGCAAAAAGAACAAATTGGGAGGCATCAATTTACCACACTTCAACCTATACTGCAAGGCTATAATAACCAAAACAGCATGGTATTGGCACAAGAACAGAAATACAGACCAATAGAACAGAACTGAGAGCCCAGATATAAAACCATCCTCATATAGCCATCTAATCTTTGACAAAGCAGACAAAAACATACACTGGGGAAAAGAATCTTTATTCAATAAATGGTGCTGGGAAAATTGCATAGCCACGTGTAGAAGAGTGAAACAGGATCTGCACCTTTCACCTCTCACAAAAATCAACACACGGCAGACTTAAACCTAAGGCATGAAACTATAAAAATTCTAGAAGAAAATGTTGGAAAAACTCTTATATAAGACGTTGGCCTAGGCAAAGAATTTATGAAGAAGACCCCAAAGGCAATCACAGGAAGAACAACAAAAATGAATGGGACCTGATCAAATTAAAAAGCTTCTGCACAGCCAAGGAAACTACCACGAGAGCAAACAAACAATCTACAGAATGGGAGAAAATATTCGCATGCTACACATCTGATAAAGGGCTGATAACTAGAATCTATATATAACTGAGGAAAATCAGCAAGAAAAAATCAAACAGCCCTATAAAAAAGTAGGCAAAGGACATGAATAGAAACTTTTCGAAAGAAGATAGACTAATGGCCAAGAAACATATGAAAAAATGCTCAACATCTCTAATCATCAGGGAAATGCAAATCAAAACCACAATGAGATATCACTTAACTCCAGTGAGAATGGCCTTTACCAAAAAGTCACAAAACAATAAATGTTGGTGTGGATGTGGAGAGATAGGAACACTCATACACTGCTGGTGGGACTGTAAACTAGTACAACCTCTGTGGAAAGTAATAGGGAGATACCTCAAAGAGCTACAAGTAGAAGTATCATTTGATCCAGCAATCCCATTACTGGGCACCTACCCAAAGGAAAAAAAGGACATTCTATAAAAAAGACATCTGCACTCGAGTGTTTATAGCAGCACAATTCACAATTGCATAGATGTGGAAATAACCCAAGTGCCCATCAATACATGAGTGAATTAATAAAATGTATATGTATACCATGGAGTTCTGCTCAGCCACAAAAAACAAATGGTAATCTAGCACCTCTTGTATCATCCTGGATAGAGCTGGAGCCCGTTCTACTAAGTGAAGTATCCCAAGAATGGACAAACAAGCACCACATGTACTCACCATCAAATTGGTATTAACCGATCAACACTTAAGTGCACATATAGTAGAAACATTCATTGGGTGTCAGGCAGATGGAAGGGGGGAAGGTGGGGATGGGTATATACACACCTAATGGGTGCAGTGCACACCATCTGGTGGATGGACACTCTTGAAGCTCTGAGTCGGGTGGGGCAAAGGCAATATGTGTAACCTAAACATTTGTACCCACATAATATGCTGAAATAAAATAAAATAAAATAAAAATAAATAAATTAATAAAATAAAATGTACCTTTGAATAGAAACTGATGTTTGCTTTGTGGGTGGCAAATCAAGTGCATTCCTCAATTAGGGGAGTATTTGGTCTTGTTTTATTATTGTCATGAATGTAGTTTTTATATAACTTCATTAACAGTTGCATACTAATTGACCATATTTAGTTTAAATTTTTCCTTTTCATGCGTTGCATGTTTTTCCTTTTAAACTTTAGGAATAGTGATTTGTTTTACGGTTCATGGGTACCCTCGGAAAAGTCATCTACTTTTAGTTTTAATGCCTTCCCTTTGGCCAAATTAGAACAGGATTATATTTTAATAAATCATAATTTTATATTTTGGTTGTTTACCTGAAGTGGCATTTATGGAGTATGGCTTCCAGCCATTGAATTTGACTTAGTTTCCTTTTAAAAAGGGGTAATTGTTCCCTTAAAGTTGTATTTTGAATTATACTGTAGGTAATTCGTAGATACTTTATGTATTTACGTATTTTTCTCCTTCTGACTATCTGCACATTCCAGGGGGAAGACATTCTGACCTTGTAAAAGGCACATGCTTACCTTTTATTTTAAAAGAAATCTCAAGTTTTTGGAACTACATGAAGATATTTTTAAAAACATTAGGTGATAGGGAACTAAAACTGAATTCAATTGAGCAAAAAGTAGGTGTCTGTACGTATAAGGTATTGTGTTTGGTGACATGAGAGATATAAAAATAACAAAAACTTGATAAATCTATTCCTGGGGCTTGTAAACTGTTAGCTGACCCAGATAAATACATAAATAACTATATTGCAAAACAGGCAATAATAAGTACTATGGCATAGGTATCAACAAAGTGCAGTGGGAAATCAGGATAGAAAGATTAATTCTGACTGGAAGGATCTAGGAAGTTTTACAGAGTAGGTAGGATTTGAGTAGAGCTTAATTTATTGCTTTCATTTATTCTAGACTGTCTTCTGAAGATTGATGTTTATTTCCTTGAGCTCTTTAATTTTGTTACCAATTTGGATAAACATGGCACAAATCCAGCAGGGAGGTCCAGATGAAAAAGAAAAGACTACAGCACTGAAAGGTACATACTTAATTTGCTTTTTCAGGGAATTTTCATTGTGCCTAATGAAGATATAGGAATATTTAGGTGATCTTCCATTCATTTCAATTCTAAAATAAGTACCTAAACTATTTGCAGTTATTTATATCCCTCATGGCAACTGTCACAGTGTCTTAGACACAGTATGTACTCAGTAAATAAATCATAGAATCGTGTAATTTTATAGGTATAAGACCACTTGATGCTTTCTTCTTATTCAAGGTCATACATTTAATGGTAAAACAATATGAGTCTTTTGAATCAAAACTAGTGCCCTTACCATATTTTTTCTGGTTATAATATCATACTGGATTAGGATAATGATCTGCTTATTTCTGTATTCTGTCTTTGTGGCATTGGCACTAGGGATATTTTATGAGAGGCTGTCCATGCTAATATTTCAGAAGGAATCTGCCTTAGACATTGTTAAGGAATTTTGACCTTTGTCAAAATTGTTAAGGAATTCTGGACCTTTTTTTAAAAACAATCTGCTATCGAAAGTAATTTTATTCCTAAAAGAAGTATCCATGGTTGCACTGTAAGGTTTCTTCATTATCATATATTTCAGTCTGTTTGGTGACTCGCCCAAGATCAGATTATCTAAGTAACCTGTGCAAGATCTCAGTTATTTTATTTGATAGTGAGAACATTTCTTACGGGTTTTCTAAATGTTGAGATACCAACTGTGTTAGTCTGTTTTGTGCTGCAAAAAAGAATACCACGGACTAGGCAATTTATAATGAACAGAAATTTATTGGCTCATAGTTCTGGAGCGTGGGAAGTCCGATATCAAGGTGCCGGCATCTGGAGAGGGCCTTCTTGCTGCATCATTCCATGACGGAAGAGCCAAGTGACAAAAGGTGTCCAAACTCATTCTTTTATAATGGCGGTAATCCCACCCATGAGGGCAGAGCCCTCATGTCCCAATCACCTCTTAAAGGTTCCACCTTTCAACACTGTTACAAATGGCAACTAAATTTCAATGTCAGTTTTAGAGGGATAAACATGCAAACCATTGCACCAGCTATGCCAGGTCATAGGGTTCCCTGGTATTTAATTCAGTGTAGAGTCCATTTGGTCTTCACGGATTCCTAGATATGCCTTATAATAGATACCTCAGCTGAATATGTACCATACAGTCATGGCTATGGCTGCTTCTCTGAATTCCTGACTGCTCTTCTACCTTGTGTTCCAGGCTGGACAATAAAGATGCCTTAAGAATCTCCCCTGCTGTCTTCTTTTATCTCTTATCATGAAAGCCTTAAGTAGATGTAGGATAAAGCAACCACTTTATTGGCTCAATTGTGTCACCTCATCCCTGCTTTTAGAGGTAATGGTTTATTGAGGGAGTGGTATAACTAGCCCTCACTTACAAAAATGGAAAATAATTAACAGTGTTACTTTCTTTAGATATTAATCTAGACCAAGTCTCCTCACAATTTTGAGAGGTGATAATAGATTGGGTTAGCTTGGTAGCAAGGGGATAATGAAGAATGGACAAATTCTGGATGTGTTTTGAAGGAGGAGATGATGTTTGCTGATGTATTAGACATGGGATATTAGAGAAGAAAGTAAGATAACTGAAGATTCTTAGCAGAAATAGCTTCAAGCATCATTAATTAAATTGAGAAAACATTGGGAAAAGCAGGGTGGGGGTGGGGGTGAGGGTGGAAAGCAAGAGTTAGGTTTTAGACATACTAGGTTGAGATACCACTTAAACATCAAAATGGAGAAGTTGAGTCTAGAGTTTGGGCTAGAGATAAAATTTTGGGGAATCATTAATACAGAGATAATACTTAAAGTCATGATTCTAATTGAGATCACCTGAGGTGTCAGTGAAGCTAGAAAAAAGAAGAGATCTGAAGATTGAGCCCTGGGCACCTAGACCTTTAGGATCAGGAAGATGAGGAGGAACCAGCAGAAGAGGCTGAAACAGCATTTCTAGTAAGATAGGCTGAGAATCAGTAGCAAGAGAGAGATCCTGAACATCAAATGTAAAAAAATAAATAAAAAGAGTCATTAATTAAGTCGTATGCTGGTGATGGGTCAGATTAGATGAGGACTGAGAATTTACTTTTAGATTTGACAACGTGGAAGTCATTGGTTACCTTCACAAAGAGCTGTTTTAGTGAATGAAACCCTGATTGGAGAACTTTGAGAATGGGAGGAGAGGAATTGGAATCAGCTGTAGATAACTCTATACAAGGTTTTACCACATTTGTATGTTGCTGGGAATGATCAAGCACACTCAGAATAATGGATGATTTAGAAGTGAGGACAAGGAATATGTGAGAGTTACTTTCTAAATAGATTTGCTGGGTTTTGTGCATCTTAAACCTCATTTGAGGCCGGGCGCGGTGGCTCACGCCTGTAATCCTAGCACTCTGGGAGGCCGAGGCTGGCGGATTGTTTGAGTTTAGGAGTTCGAGACCAGCCTGAGCAAGAGCGAGACCCCGTCTCTACTAAAAAAAAAATAGAAAGAAATTATCTGGACAACTAAAAATATATAGAAAAAATTAGCCGGGCATGGTGGCGCATGCCTGTAGTCGCAGCTACTCGGGAGGCTGAGGCAGTAGGATCGCTTGAGCCCAGGAGTTTGAGGTTGCTGTGAGCTAGGCTAACGCCACGGCACTCACTCTAGCCAGGGCAACAGAGTGAGACTCTGTCTCAAAAAAAAAAAAAAAACCTCATTTGATAATGTGAAAATTTGATCTCCCAAGTTGTGGTTCTAATTTATATTCCTGCTAGCAGTATGTAAGTTCAGATTGATTTTCTAGATTTTAGAGGTAGTACAGTGATGTTAAAAGACTATTGATAGGTTCTAGAGATAGAACTATCTGGGATTCAAACTCAGGGCTTTCCTCTTAGCATGGGCAAGTTACTTAACTTCTCTAAATCTTTTTCTTCATCTGTACCCTAGAAATAATAATGCTGAGTAGACATGGGGTTATAAGGATTAATGAAGGAGTCAAATTGGAAATATTAGAAAATAAAATGGCAAATGCATAGTAAATTATATTTTAGAATAAATTAGCAAATCGAATAAAACTTTATCCCTGAAACAGGAAAGCAGTTTTATTCTTGAGATTTTTCAAAACTGGGCTGTGATGCATAAAACAATGAACTGATGATGATAAGTGACTGCCATTCATTAGAGTGTTTCAGGTTTACGTGGCAAGACTGCACACTTGAAGGTGATTTAATTTTTCATGAATGGAAAAGTGCTTCAGATAAAGACATAAATAGTGGGAAAATCTCTTAAGATTATATCAGTGGGCAGAAAAATGTCAGATAAAACTCAAGACAAGCAGGGTTAAAGCAGTGCATTCTGGAAGAAAGAGTTTAAATTAGCTTACTGTAATAATGGTGATAATGAAGACGGTGAGGAGGAGGATGATGACTACTATTAAAGGCAGGCATGTTACGCATCAGACAATTATGTCATCTTCTTTGGAGATGACAGTGAAGATAGCCTGTAAGGAATCTTCCATTTCTTAAAAAGATGATACTTTTTCCCTTTGCCAGTTTTACAGGGTTTTAGCTTGTCTACCGTTTCTTATTGATTTGTTGAACGCATTTTTCCTGGATTTCTGGATAGATGTTCTATAGTCCTCTTAGTTCATGTGGATTAGTTTTCATTTCCTACCTTCCAATCCCACTCCCCACTTCCCCAAAATGCTTGCACTTTGCCATAATGCCTTTTAAAAAATTCTTCTGGATATTAATGGACATTAATGTTGAATTATTACAATTATTTGTGATAGCCTTGATTATTATTCAGTGAATACTGTTCTCCTCTGCTTCTGGGGGAAGAGTGTATTTCCCAGCTTCACTGATGAGTGGTTAGTGGACATGAGGCAAGCAGAGCCTTACACTGTGTTTGTGTGGTCTAGCTTATCAGCTGTTGAGCTCCTGCCCTTCTCCATGAAAAGAACATACTCCAGGTAGCCACTAGTCTAAAGTGGGTCAGAAACATATTGGAGCCGACCTGAATCCAGTCTGCAGCTGGGATCCTGAAACCTGGAGTCCAGGCTTCAGGGAATGACATCCAATGATTTTCAAATGTTAAAGCCAGCCTTGCATTGCATGGCTATTTGGACATGGTGTATTTTCCTTATATATTGCTGGATTCTATTTGTTAAATTTTTGTTGAAGATTTTTGCATCTATATTTGTGAGGTATTCTATAATTTTCTTATAAAATTTGTGTCTGGTTTGGTATCAGGATAATGCTGGCTTCCTGAAATGAGTTGGGAAGTCTTTCTTGCTGTTTTATTTTCTGGAAGAGATTATGTAGAAATGATATTTTTTCTTTTTTAACTGTTGGGTCAAATTAATCAATGAAGCCGTCTGGGGCTGGACTTTTTCTGTTATTTTTTTTTCTTTCTTTTTTCTATTTGTGGGAAGCTTTGAAGTTTGAATGTAACTATAATCAACCATAAGTTAGAGTATGTTTTAACTAAAAGAGTGTTATTAGAATGTTCCTAACACAAAGAAATGTTAAATGCCTGAGGTGATGGATACCCCAATAATCCTGATTTGATTAATCCACACGATATGCCTGTATCAAAACATGACATGGACCCTGTAAAGATATACAACTATTATGTACCCATAATTAAAAATAAAAATAAAAAATTTTAAAAC